TCATTTTTTAGTGTTGAACTTGAGAAAAAAATGGTCATGGGAAAAAAAGAAAAAGGTTAAATAAACTAGAGTGAAAGTTCATTGACTCAGGAAGAGGAGGTATGAGCTGTATTTAAAAAAGCATTAAAAATAATTCAATCTCTCAATAGAATGAATAGAAACTGGATGTAAGGTAATGTTGAAGTTGCTCTAGAGTACCATAGAAATGTTTGAATTTACACTGATGGAAAGAATGAAAAAGAAAGCTTGGTGAAATGATGAAAGCGAAAAGGCTCTGGGTAAGAAAAAAAATGCATGCTCTAGAACAGACATGTCAAACTCGTGATGTCACATGACGTCATGCAACGTATCGGGACAGTTTTGCCATTGCTGGCAATGGGGTAGACGTGGCTTCCACGTGACGCATCCGGCCCACAGGCCAGCAGTTTGACACCCCTGCTCTAGAATAATTGCTGAAAAAACATGTATATTTATTTCTTTCATTTATATGGCTGCTCCACTCACAAAAAAGATCTTGGGCAACATATAGTTCAGACATGTCAAACACAAGGCCCGGGGGCCGGATGCAACCCGCGAAGTCATCCTGGAAACAGTGAGGGAACGGCCCCTGCTGCCTTGGCCCTGGCCCAGGCCGGCCAGGAGCCAATGTACAATTTTGTGGTGGCCACCTGTGCTGAAATGCATTCAGTCTTAGCTCCACAAGGCCATCCAGAAACAGCGAGAAACCAGCCCCTGCCGCAATGGCCCCGCCCCCTGGGTGCATGTTGGGGAGATGTCACCCTTTGTGAGGAATGAAGAAATGCACCATGCCTTGGCGCTTGCTCCGGTCCCACCTCCTTCTGCCAGAGACCCTCAGATCTGCCCCACTCCTGCCCAGGCCACCACAGGCACCCTTGACGATGTAGAGCTGGCCATGCCCACCCAGTAGGCTGCACCCACCCTGGCCACACCCACCCGGCCCCCCCAAGGGCAACCGCAATGCTGATGCGGCCCTCAATGAAATTGAGTTTGACACCCCTGATATAGTTAGATCAAAGCATAAAAAACAAATGTTAAAACAAAATGCAGCATTCAGTACAGAATAACCAAGCCAACTATCACATATTTCATTCATGTTGTTTCATTGTCTGGATGGCTTATTCTATGCTTTAAAGTCCTAGGGGAAGAATCAGGTTTTCAGACCCATGAAACAGGACAGCAGGATCAGGGTCATCTAAATCTTTGGGAAAGCGTTCCATAGGGCAAGTGTTGTGACAGTGAAAGCATGCCTCCTGGTCCTGCCAGGTGACACTGTTTCTTATAAAAGTCCCACAGCATGCCCATTCTGCCAGATTCCATAGGATGAACAGAGATAATTGTGACAGATGGTCACACAAATAACCTGGCCCTGTGCCGTGAAGGACTTTATAGGTGATAATCAGCACTTTGAATTGCATCCAGAAGCCTAAAAGGAACTAGTATAGTTCACAAAATAATGGTGCTATATGCAACATGTCTTCAGGACCACCAGACCCCAGAGGTCCTGAAGTCTGGAGCAGTTGGGGAAGTTGGGGAAAAAAGAAAACAGTCTAGTCCCCCCCCCAGATCAAATAATAGCATGTTTGAGGCAATATGGCTGCTTGCACTATGGTAGGTGATATGACAGCTGCAGGATGCAGATTGGCAGTCCAACTGAGCCACCTGCTGCTCCTGTTCTCATTGCAACGCATATTCCAGACATCTTCTGGAATGTAAAGGGCAGGCAGCATAGGGGTGCTGTCAGCACAATACTCGGGGAGAGGAAAACACTCCAGCCAGATACGCTGTATTATTACCCGAGGGAGGAATAAAGCCAGTGTTGCCACCATTGCAGAACCGATTAAATTTTCTCAGTGAAATGGCAGCAACTCCTGCTCAATTCTCCCATTCACTGAAAGCTAATCAGTGGTACTTCATTATTGCGTTTCCACTGTCCAATTGCTGACTGGTTGCACAATTCTTGGCAAAAAGGAGAGCTGTGGAAAGGTATAGTTGCCTCAGAGGCCCTCTGTGACATGAGCCACCACTACTGCTCAGATGCCACAAAGCCTCACTGCCACGATCTCATCCAAAGAGGTTCTAAAAACCTCCACCTTTTACCTAGGACTTTTAAAAATCTGTCTAGTTCAGCGGTCCCCAACTTTTTCAGCTCTGCAGACTGGTGGTGGTGGTGGTGGTGGAGTTGGCGGGGGGGAAGGGGATGGTTTTACAAGCATGCTGCTTGCTCAAATGCAGCTTTGTGCGTTTTCCTGCCACTTGCGCAGCTGAGTTCCAAATGGGCCACGGCCTGGCACCAGGATATAGACCAGGGTTGGAGACCCCTGCTATAGCTCTTATTCAGTATATTTATTTCTATAAAACTTAACTCTCCCATCCCTAGCACACATCTGGCCTTGGCACAATTGGGAGTGGGGAGATTTTGTAATGTATGTGGAGTAGAGGATGTGGAGGATGAATGTGCAAAGAAGTGAAAATGGTTATGAGAGTCATTGTTGAATGAAATTTATGAGTAATATGTAAAATATAATCAAATAAGTTCATTTATTTTACATCAACACTGATAAGAAATATAAAGAACAAAAAGCTTTAGGACACCGTGAAAGCAAGGCTGGTTTACAAAGTATAAAGGCAAAAAATATATAGTGAATGATGTTCTTATGAACTGCCTTTATTTTGTTTTTGTTTACTTCTTCTTTTTGCTGCTTTATAACATTGCTTACCCTGAAGAAAATTGCCTGAATACTCTCTGTACCTATTACTAAGATTTATTGTTTTATCTAACACCAATTAATTTGAAAGTTCTGCTTTTTCTATGTGAGAACTTTGAGATTAGAGTAACTACCATCTGAGCACATCCTCTTTGGTCTGATTTTGCTGATGTAGAAAGTGTTTTAATAGTTTGTTTTTAAGTTAATGAATGTTTTCTAAAAAATGTATATCATAAATCCTGTATATAGTATATAAGTCTGATTAAGATTTAATTACAGATACACCGATCCAAAACAGAAAAAACCCTAAAATAATTAGTTTATAAGGACCTTTGATCTAAAAAGCCTGATACGAAAGGGCAGATTAATGCTGATTCAGCTTCTTTGCTGTTAGGTGGCAGTCTTGCGAAGCTGCTAAGTTTCTTTCTTGACTTTCTGGATTTTCAGGAAAAGAAGGAAGGATAGATGAATAGATATAGATATAGAAAAAAAAGTTAAGATTTTCAGGTTTGAAATGATTATCTAAAACATAGAATAATAAGAGTTGGAAGGGATCTTGGAGGTCTTCTAGTAAAACACCTTGTTCAGCTGTATCACTCTGTACAAAATGGCTGTCCAATCTCCTCTTGAAAACTTCCAATGATGGAGCATTTACATCTTCTGGAAGTAAGCCGTTCCACTGACTAATTGTTCTCACTGTCAGGAAATTTTCAATTTAGTTCTATGTAGGTTGGATCTCTCTTTAATGATCTTCCACCTGTTACTTCTTGTCCAGCCCTCAGTTACCTTGGAGAATAAACCAACTCCTTCTTCTCTGTCACAGCCTTCAAGTAGTGGTAGACTGCTATCATATCATCCCTAGTCCTTCTCTTTGTAAGACTTGGCATACCTAATTTCCTTAATATCGTTTATCATATGGCTTCGCCTCCAGACCTTTTATCAGCTTTGTTGCTCTTCTTTGCCCTGTTTCTATAGTCTCTCTATTTTGTATTGTAGTGATCAGAATGGGATACAGTATTCCAAGTGTGGTCTCACCAGTGCAGTATAAAACGGTACTATCACTTCACATGATCTTTACACCATCCCTTTTTGGCTTTTTTTGGCAGCAGCAACAGCACACTGCGGGCTCATACTTAAGTGGTGGTCTACTAGGACACCTAGATCCCTCTCATAGTTGCTACTGTTAAGCAGGTACCATCTACTCTATATCTGTGCATTTCTTTTTTATTGCCTATGTGTAGGACCCTGATTTTCTCACTATTGAATTGCATATTGTTGGATAGGGCCCAGTCTGTTCAGGTCCTTCTAAATCTTGAGTCTTCCATCTAAAGAATTAGCTGTTTTTCCCAGTTTGGTGTCTTCTGTAAATTTGCTGAGTTCCTTGTCTATTCTTTGTCATTTATGAAGATACTGAAGAGCACTGAACCTAAGAGAGAACCTTGAGGTACCCTACTCTGGCTTCTTTCCATTGAGGAATACCCACTGAATGCAGTTGGTCAGCCAGTTGCAAATCCATCTGGTGGTAGTACTTTCTATCTACATTGTTCTATCTTACAAAGACGTAGGCTGTGGACTACTGTGGATAGGTATTCTGTTATCAGTTTCTTACCTACTTTGATTTGCATTCCTATTCTGTCTCCTATGGTGCTGCTTTTGATAGGCTGAACTATTTTTTCCTTTTGCATGAAGACAGATGCAAAGAATGAATTAAGCAGTTCTGCTTTCTCCCTGCTATCCATCACCTCCTTGCCATCTAGAAGTTTCTATAAACCACATGAAACTTTTTTTTAGTCATCGTGGAAGACAGGTTTAAGAAACCAAGACATACAGTACATGCAGGGGAAAGGATGATGTGGGAAAATTGGAATATAATGTACAGTGTGTTCAAGGCCATTTATTTCAATAAATGGACGATTCAAGTTGTGATGTTTATGTTAATGGATGTATTTTCATTTTAGCTTTTTAATATAATGGGTTACTTTAAAATGGGAATAAAATGCTTATCAAATAAATAAAGACTTGTTTGTGATTTATGATTTTTTTATTTTGTAAGACTGCTTTTTTCCCTCTCTGTAATTGCTAAAATAGAAATTCATTAGGCTAAGACTTGGCCAAACTAGTTTCTTAGTTGGCATTTGGGTTTCAGTTACTCTGTTACCTGTTCTTAACTAGTAAGATAAAATTAATTAATCTTTTCCCTCTTTTTACAATCCTACTTTTAAATTGAAAATGTTCATATTTATTAATAAGCATTTTTCTTCACTACACCTTCAGCTTGTTCCTCCTTTTAAACCTCAAGTGACATCTGAGACGGACACCAGATACTTTGATGAAGAGTTTACTGCTCAAACTATTACAATAACACCACCTGAAAAATGTAAGTATCTCATTATTAAGGAAGGTAGGAGAGGGGGAATTCACATTTCATTTATTTGATTATGAAGAATCTAAGACATAATCTTAGATTATGAAGCTATTATAGCAAATAATAGCTATAATAGTAATTTGTGAATGTTAGCATCTAATTATTACACCAGTCATTGCAGAGGGTCCCTGGGTAGAGATGGGAAGGCCTGGAAAAAAACTGGAAAAGTTGGGGAAAACAGTTCCCCCTCATTTTTTCCCAAACATCTTTGAGAAAAAATAAAAATAAAAAACCCTGTTTTCCCCCCCAATTTTTTTGTTTTTTCCCCAGGCCTTCCCATATCTATCCCTGGGAGGCAGAAAGGTCTGCCAGCAAGAAGAGAAGAAGGTTGATAGTTCATTCAATTTCCCCCTTTTTCTCCTCCCCTTTTTGGCACCCTATTCTTCCCAAATTCTTTTTGGTAGGTGTCTTCAATAGTGGAGGTCTGTGTTACTCACATTCATCCAAATCGACAGGACAAAGCTGTTATGAGGTATAAAAAACTGCAGAGACAGAATAAGGAGTTATTGGCTAGCTTTTATTTCTATATGTATTGAGTGTATCTGAAGCTATCTAAGAGATGTTATACTGTAGTAGGAAATTTTCAGTGATGATTTTTTAAAACATATTTATGTACTCTGATGTACTCTAATTTAGAAAGATAAAAAAGCCCCTGTGATTAATACAAGATGGGTTGGATGAGTAGGTGGGAATCAGTTCAAGAGTTCGAAGTATTAACCTACAGCAGTGGGAGTCTATTTAATCTATTTCTTCACCCTACTGATTATCGAACATCCTTCTTTTGTAAACCTACTACAAAAGAATTCTGAAGACTTGTTACATTTACATTTTGCACTAGGCCTAATAATTAATCCTATTTTGTTTAGTCCATTCTGCTTCTCGTTTTAATAAACATTTGCAAAAATAGTCTTCAGTTTTACATATCTCTACAAAAGATCATAGTAAACAAACACAAAAATAATTTCATGTTTAAAAATTTCATGTTTACTAATTGGCAACTTGAAGTATAAAATGTATATTAAAATCTTCCAACAATAAAATTTAAAAGGCAAAATGTGAATTTTTTTTCACATACCTTCATTGAACTAGTCTAAAAAAATGCATTTAAGACAATATCATTCTAATAATAAAATATGTGCAAATATATGTCAATATAGAGGAACATATTAGTCATTTTTTATGAGGCTACCTTTAATCTTCAATTCCACAGATGATGAAGATGGCATGGACTGCATGGACAATGAGAGACGACCACATTTCCCTCAGTTTTCTTATTCTGCAAGTGGACGGGAATAACTTCCTGTTTTGTATTCTTGCTATAGAGACATACTCAATTTATCACTGAAAATGATTCCTGAACATCACCACCAGTCCTTGTTATTATTTAGGAGAGCGGAGCACTTTCAGAAATCATTCCTAATTGATGGAGTTCCTTTTTTGATTAATTAGCCTATTTGATTTATCTGCATGAGGTGTTACATTGGTCTAAGTTGACCTGCGGTTACTGCTGTCTCAACATGAAAGTCATAGCAAAAAGCATTCCCCAAATATTATATTAGATGGCAAATTCTCAGTTGCATGATTTGTGCACAATGAGCTCTTATTCTCTTACCTTCTCAGAGCAGAGGTTAAAGGGCATGCTGGTCTGTGATAACAGTACTTTCTCCTTTCTAAAAGGCAGATATAAATTCTAAAACGTGATTAATTAGGATGTTTTTTCAAGCTGATTGGAGCTTGACAGAACTAGAAACTATATAAATTATTTTTTAACTGTTGGATACTATCCAAGAAGCAAAAAGTCTGGGATCACCTACTTTCCCATTTAGACTTCCAGATTCATGTGCAATTATGGAGAATGGGACATTTAAATGGAAGAAATTATAACATAAAAGCAGCAAGTGAAGTTGTTTCAACCTCTTATGATTTGTGTCTTGTGCTTTCCTTTTTCTTTGTTGATATTCATCACCCCTGGAGGCTGAAGAATTTAGACAAGCTTAACAACATTGCTTTTCACCAAAATTTGTATACCAAGGTAAACAATTGTTTACCTTTTATGTTTTTTGAGTTTATGAACTAGTTTCTTTTTCTTCAGATGTTTTAATTGAATATTTTGTTACACTTCAGTAGTATTTATTTTTAGTGACAATGATTGTATGTGTCATGTTTGCAATGCTGCTACATCCTAGAAGAGGCTTGCAATTTATTTTATAATGTACGGAAGAACTGTACAAGCTGAACAAAAGAATGCACTTTTTTCTATGTGAAAATGTTAACAAAATTCTGAAAGTGTACCTTGTACTTAGAATTTGGTTTTTATAGTTAAACTATTTCATTATGGTCAAGGAAAAAAATCCCAACCCATGTATCCCAATCGTTTGCACAGTCTTTACTGAAGTTGAATGTTGTATAAAAGTTGGATAACCCTTGAAAATTTTTAAGTTACCAAGGCCACAATGATTACAAGAAATGCATTGTAAAGTTTTGAACATTTAGTTAGATTGATAGGAGTATCTGTTTTAAAATACCGTATTAGTTTTAGCCATGACAGATGCAACATTTTTAGTAAACCTAATTCTCAAAATATTTATTAAATAGGATGTTTGAATATTTATTTTTTCATTTAAAAGATTTTAAAAAATAAACATGTGATGAAAGGCAATTTATTACATGGCCTTTGGTGACAGGAGTTGAGATTTTCTAAAGGAGCTAGTAAGTGTAATAGCGCATGCCAGATTAGCCCTGAAGGATGATCTGTGGGATTATAACTGACAATTCTTGACTTCATTCTTTGTAACTCCTATAATCTTTTAAGCTCTTATATGACTTTTCTAAGTCTTATGAAAGCTGTCTTCATGACTTTAAAAAATATTTACATGCAATTGTATCCATCTCTTGATGCAGAAAATGTACATACTTTGAAGTATCACTGCAGGCGGTGGAACATGCTACGGTTATCAAGAGGCATGTGGGCATTTTATTCAGGCAGCTAGGATCTATGCTTTAAAGAAATAAGGTAGATATCATTGTACTTCTACACTATATAGGTCAGAAATACTGTGTACCTCTTGTGTGGAAGGCTTATAGAATAAGGCAACATCTGCATTATTAAAAATTGTGAAGCAGTAAGGAACCGTCAGAAAGAATGGCTAAGAGAAATTTAGTTTTTGATCAGTGTCTTAGTACTATCTATTAAATAATAATACATAGTAGAAGTATTCTCAGTTCAGCAGTTCTAATATGCAAAAATTTCTTTGATGTTCAGATGGAGAAGGTGGTTAATTAGGACCGCTTCTCTCCTTTTGGCATGGATAAATAAGAGAAGTCAGGAGTCCCATACTCCTAGTGTCACCATTGATTTCCTACCTGAAATATGCCAGCCTAAGCTAATAAAAAAGCCTGACATATATAATATATATTTCTTCTCCTGTGCAGCCCTTATATAAAAGTCTGCACATGGATCAGTCTTGCTGGATTGGAACAGGCATGCCCTTCCACAGTTCAAGGCATTTATTGATTTAGACTGGTGTGTGCCTGGTCCATTTTAGTTTGTTCCTAATTATGTTATACATAATCATTAAGCAGATATAGTTCAATACTAAAGTATATAGATCCTCAGTTTAACAGACTGTTTAGGGGAAAGGAGTATTCATTAAATTTGAATGTCTGTTAAACACTCAGGTTGCCCTCCGCCTCCCACCATCCTTGTTTTTCCCCCCTTCCTAGTGATGAACTACAGGAAAAATAACTTTCAAATGCAGCCCTTCAAGGGAGGTAGTTGTTCCTAGCATCAGTCTTTGGGAGGTTTGGTAACACTTTTTCTCTCTAGCTCCTGTCACCAAGGAAGCAGTGGCCAGAGCTGCAAGTGAGGGAAGGGGAAGGAGTCACAGCAGTTCCTTCTCCTCACAACACCTCCCCAGCCTTTTTTCCTCAGCTCAGCCCCACTCCTCCTCCTCCCATTGCCTGCCAGGTTTTCTCAGTCCCTTTTCTCCTTAACCCTCCTAGGAACTTCACCATTGAATATGTAGAATTCACACCCATCACCCGCCTGATCATACTTGCATTTTCTGTCTCTCAAAAGTTAAACAGGAAGCGTATCCATTTTTGAGGGTTTAGCAGCAACTGCTGTCCAGACCATTTCCCCGAACAAGGGAGAAGTTGTTTATTTTGGGATATTGCCCACGTGGAAATTTTGTTCATTGTATCCAAAGTCCATTAGTCCTGCACTATTTGTGGTGGTCAATGGTAAAATATTTTTTTAAACATGCTATTAGTCAGTCAGTATGGAGGAATAACATTCCATGCAATCTCATTTTTACATTCTACAAATATTATATTTTACATTCTAAATCATTAATACTATTTTTATGATGACTTGATTTTTTTTTAGTCATAATCCTATCTGATTATAATTGTTTCTACACATTGCTTTCAGAGTTTTGATGTGTCGACCAGGGAACTTAATGTTGTAAAATGATAGAGATTAAGAAAAAAAAAATGAAATGTTGAAATACATAAAATAGAATTTCTGTGATCTTTTTCTTTGGTTTTGTATAAGGGATATTTTACCTTGTATAATTAGTCCCAAATCCTAGATTAGTAATACTTGCTTACTAATATGTTATCAAAAACAACATAGACCAGTTATGCTAATATGCAAAAAAATATAAAAGCAAATACTCCCCAGTCGAGTTATGCTGTCTACTCAACATAAAATAATTGATGAGTAGCTGTGTATAAAATGAGGCCAATGTGTACTCTTTTTCTTATTTTATAGGCCAAGCTGCCTCATTTAGGACACTCGTTCCACCAATATTAGGTGAGTGAGGCTTGATTCAGTTTTCCCGCCCTCTCACTACACCCACTTTTTAACAGAGTTTTAAGTTTTTAACAAGGCTTCCATGTCTCACCCTTTCTCAGTATATAATATGGATAGATGAGAGTGGTATTTATAAATATTAACTCTCTTTTGAATTCCTCCTGCCATTCAGTCTAATTTGCTAGTTCAGAAGAAATTAGCTTTTGTCCAAAGGAATCAAAAATATATTCTGTCATCTCATTGTAAAGTCATGTTACTTGAAAAGTTTGAATGACCCCATCTCTATTGCAGGGTGCAAACACTGGGCTTCAGAAGAGAATATTTCAGCATGACTGCAGTATTGATCAGGGAACACATTACATTTTGTGCAACACTGATGGGATCAGGCCATTACTTCAAAATCATTCGTATTCAATAGTGAATGGGCTCTACCATTCTGAAGTGTTCATTGCTTACATCATAGATTACTTTTTATATCATTACTATAAATGAATGCTTTGATAACACATTTTTGCTGTTTGCTTTTTTTGAAAAATTCACCAATGAAGTAATAGAAGTATCATAGGGTTAGTCTTCAAGTTCTAGATGATCATCTGAACATTTATGAGATCAATAATATCTTTAATATTTCCTTGGGTCTTCAGACAACGGCAGTGCTATTAAGTACACAATAAAATGTTAGACCAGCTTTCAATTTTGCTATTTGCTATTTTGCTGAAAAGGAACTTATAATTTGAGGAATATGTGATCAGCTGATCAAAAAAGCAGCTGTTGGCACTAGATAGCAACACTAAAACCATGTGTCTTATGAACAAAATCCAAAATATAGTGATATATCTCTTTTATATTGAAGTGATTATAAAGTAATTGATGAAATTAATTTATTTTACCTGCAGCTTCAAAGAGCAATGAACAATACAAGCAATGCATGGTATTGCATTATTTTTGCAGACATGACCCTTCACTTTTTCATTGTGATATCAGATATCTTTTCCTGGAATCAGTGGGCTTGCACCAAACAGGTTCAGTACCATGTAGTTTCTATATGTTATATATTTCATATAAAGGACATCATGAGTCTGTTACTTCCCCAGTAGTCTTACAGATCAGGGTCTCAAAGAGAATTTGTATTTTTACAGCATTTTGCTGGGAGCAGTATGCTAACATCTAGCCTTGAAGTAGGAAACAATATTAAACTAAGTTATATGAAATGAACCAGATTAGCCTCTGCTGTTTTAACTCTTTAATTCCTCTATATTGTGTCATTGAGGGAAAGAGATTAATAGATGACCATATAAATAGCATAAATACATTTTGATTTATATCTTTTCTTTCATTCAGGAGTTCAAAGTAACATATATATAAGGAGTCTCTCTTCGTATAATCCTATGAGATAGATTAGCTGAGAGAGTGTGACTAATAACGATGGCCATTGTCAGAAAGGACTGACAATTAGGTGGGCAGAAAGAGAAGGCATCCT